ACACATGGTTTTTTTATATTTTAAAAAGAACCATGTGTTCAAAGGTCCTATCTAAAAAGATCAAGATGAGAATATGCAGGACTACGCCGCGACTGGCAGCCACTTACGGTAGCATAATAAAGCGATTAACGCGAAAGAAAACAGGCAGACTTGAATTTTGGACGTATATATGGAGCAATTCAAAGTGAAGGTGTTTGTAGGAGATGCTATAATCATGAGCTGGATGTACTCATACAAAGAGGCACAATAATGAGTTTTACAAGAGAAAAACAGACTACGATGTCCTTTGAAAGGCAGTTGTAGATGAAATAACGAGCAAGAAATAAATGTATCAATGGAGGTAAAAATGAATTGAATTCTTTGCATGTGTACAATTTCACAATGGCAGTAAGAAACATATTTATAACAATGGAGGAAACTCAATACCCTAAGCTACTCATTATGTTAAAAATACCTATAATATGCCCAAAAAACACCAAAATTAAGCAAAAGTACTATTGAGCTAAACAATTTTAAAGAAAATCTTTATCTATATTACAGATGCGCCAAATAAATATCTTGTAAATAGGTTGAAATACTAAATAATAGCAATAAATCAATAACTTCTCTTCCAGATTTTTTTGAAAGCACTATGTCTTATCATCTGTTGCCATCTTTCACTTTGTAGGTCTTAGCAAAGATTCTGTAGTCATATGAATAATAAAAAGTATATAACATGTAGGAACATCCTCACAGGATTAAGTTTAGCCCATATAGACAAAAAAGCGATCAGAGGTAAACATCCGGGTAGAATTCTCTCTCTATTAACATATTGTAGAACTAAGCCGTAAACGATTAAACGATCATTAGTTGTATTGCGTGAAGTCTTATCAAAAAGTAGGGACTGCAAATTAGATGCTCTATTTACACTGTTCTTTTCATATCAGTTCCCATTTCCATTCCAATTTCGAGCATAAAGTCAAAGTACATCGCCATAGGAAGTTCACATTGCTGACCATACCTACAAATCAGGTTCACTTAGCAATAATTAAATAGCTCAGTGATATATCAAAAAATATAGATTATCTACTAGGCAAGATTGGGACTTTGAACTATTAAATAGTAGTTAACTAATATATATATCTGTACATGTGGATAAATATACTCGTAGATCAGTAAGATTAAAAAATTAAATGCAGGACTGAAGTATTCTTGGATAATTTAGTTAGTCTTTTAGCTTTAGAGTACCGACCTATTGTAGTATATATATACATATATATATATACATATATATATATATACATATATATATATATACATATATATATATATTCTATGTATTCTAACGTAGCCAATCTGCTACGAGTACTGCTAATGAGTACTATTTATGTGACGCACGCATCCCAATAAAATATCCGCACCAAAAGTCGTTTTTCAAACCTTAGTTCGAGGTCACTTAAGTCAACTTTGATTAAAAATATATTACAAAAAAATAAACACTTTCCTAATAAGGGTTGGCGTTAATCTATGAACTTTCATCATTAAGTGACATTATTCGATAGCTATACGTGCGACTAATTTAAGCGTCCCCAGTAAATCTTTCTGTTAAAGTAGTCACAGGGAAATAATCGTACATTCATTATGTCTCCATTCTTCATCACAACTTTTAACGTTTTTTACTGTCACTAGATGGTCTCTCTGAATAGTACCAAAACGATCCTCTGTGCTAAATGAGTTGGAAGATTTCTTTGAAATCATGATAAAAGACAAATCGGATTAATATTAAATTTATTATACACTATAGGAAGAGAATAATTTCAATCAATTTTAAAGGGGTTCCGTAAAATCATTTTAACGTTTAAGGTAAACAATGGACTTTTGTTAAAATGTACGTATGTAAAAAAAAATGCTTTCAAACATCACATTAATGCTTCTGTTATATTATATAGTACTTTTTAAAGAAAATATTTCTAAATAGTTATAAAAGATTAAGTTTTTGAAAATATATGATCAAGTAAATATTTTTAATATACTTATTATTAATTCTGTGATTCTGCTCCGAAAAATGCCGAAAATTAAGTTGTTGTATAATGAAAAAATATTTAAAAATATTAAATTATGTACTAAAGCAATTCTGTGAGCCTACAAATTTTTTAGAATTCTCGGAAATGGAAAATAAAACAACTAAGTTTTCTTTAATCAAAAATTTTTGGTTTGTATTAAAGATGAACAAACCAGCATTAGTTCTTATAGTATTATCCAGTTTTTGAAAAAAAATATACTTCACCTTGATTCCTGAATCTTGCTTCCCTCAATTGATATTAGCAGGATATGCAAGTGGAAGCTCAATATAGACGAAAAGTTTGGAAAACAGATAAAAGATTGGGTTTCTTAAGCAAACTATTGAAAAGAAAAGAGCGATGTGCTATTATTTATTTAAATGAAAAGTTATGTCCTGGATTTATACTGCTCTTATTAGACTAATTCTTTTTTATGGTTTACTTGTCTGATAGCATTCTTTAGACAAAGAAACTCATTGTAAATTAATTAACAAAGCAAAAACATTAGTTTCTGTTCCATTTAAGATGCAGTTGAAACTATGTCGGCGGAGGAACTTTATACAGCTCTAATTCTTTTTCTAGACCTTGACGTGATGTGGGGCTTAATTTGCAATACAACAATGAGCTATACTAACAGATTTCAATATATACCATCTTGTAAATTTCTAGTGTTGTTTGGTAATGCCACCCATGTCAGTTATCTTATTGTGGAGCAATAAACTATATTCTATTCGCTCATGTCTCTTCTTTTTATCCTATTCTACTCTATCGTCTCTAGACGGTGAACTGTTGGAGTACTGGAAAATGCGTGAGGTACTTAAACTTCATTGCAAAGCTACCCAAGACTTACTCTGGCAAACAGTAGCCGAAAATAATGTGAATATAGTGCTATTATCGGAACTATTCTTTAGTTATGGCATAAGATAAGGTATTGCGTGACAAATTTCCACATAAATGGAAACCCCGTGCGATGTATGTATACTGAAATTCGGATATAGTGGCAAACGATTACCTGTATACTGGTGGTCTAGCGAGATAGCCGATATACGCAGAGCTTGTATAAATGCATGAACAAAAGCACAAAGAGTTAGACGCCGCACAGCTTTTAATGAGATACACGTAGAGTACCACATGCGAAAACATGATCTTAGAAAAACAATTGAACAAAGCAAAAATCGATGTTTTACGCACATACGGACAGTGCGGATAAGGTTCCATGCTGTCTGGCCTACAAAATCGTCATGAAGGAAATAAAAGAATCAATCCTGCTGGAGGAAGTCATGCTGGCACTTTTTTTCCAGTACTTGGTCGCATAATAAGGGGATGCTCCCAGCAATAACTGAAAGGCTCCACTGGCCACAAATGCAAAGGAAGCTATCAGCGAAGGACACACTAAGGACATAAAAAATGCATTCAACTCAGCAAACTGGTCTAATATACTACTCTCGGTTGAAACTCTGAAAGTATCCGATTATTTGTTATGCATTATTCGCAGCTACTTCAACAAATCCGAATGCAGTATGGCAGAGAAAAAAGATGAAAACAGTATGAGCTCACTGGCGGGATTCCTTTCACTTTCTCTGTGAAATGCTATGTACGACAGTAAAAATAAAACTTTTCGACAAAGCGATTATTGTTGGATTTGCGGATGACATTCTACTAGTAGTGGTTGACAAAAGGTTTGATCATTTAGGACGCTTAGATAAACTTAGAGAAGGGCGTTCCCAATAAGACCAGCTGCAGTGAGTGATGATCCCGAAAGATGAAACCTTCGGACATCAGTTTGATTTTAGTGAGCTGAAATCTAAAACTGACTTGGTCTTTCGCTTGTCTCAAAAAAAATCAAAAATACATTTTGTGCTATATTCATTTTCGGAAATACTGGTGTCACTGAGATCTTTTATCTCGCATAGTAGAGGGTGAGTGTAGTAGTTGTTGGGCAGACGTGAATCCGTTAACATTTTCATTCATTGCTTCTGTTGCAACTCACAAATCCGACGAATGAATTTATTGTTTATTTTCGCATAGTTGTTATCGGCTGAAAGAGATTTTGCATTGTCAGATACTTGAGTCTTCTACATAAAATACTTCTACTTTGATGAATATGTAGTTCTTAGACAGATCAGAAGTTACGCTGTTAACATACAAAAGTCTGTCTATCTGCTTCTCTTTAGTATATGATCTGATTCTATAAACGGAGGTGCCATGATAAGATAACCTACATCCACGTAATCAGGTGAACATTGGTTAATTTATTCAGGCGGTACAATGGCCAATCTATCCATATTTCCATAATCAGTTGTTCCAACAACTACATTATTATAAAAGAATTTTTTTAAGAATTTTCTAAGTCCAACACAGGTATTTTTCAAGTAAAATATGGTATTTCATAAATATGTTCTACGAATGTAAAAATTTAAATTTATTAAAGATATAAATCAAATATATTTAAATGTTTAAATTTAATGTATGGGGGCAGCACGGGTTTAAAAACCGAACTAGCGACATCTCGTGTCAATTAATGATACAAAGTGTATATTCTGCTTTGCCTGATGTTGTAAACTTATTGCTTTACTAGGCTGTAGTATTGGTTTACAGTTGAGACCCGATAATTGCAATTCGTAAGAGCTTTAGCGTTATGTATAAAATATGTAAAAAAATATAAAAACTGTGTTAAGCTGCAATGGTGTGTCAAACTGTACCAAACTCTATATGTGGCTAACTAATTTCCATTACTTCACTTTGGATTCTTATAGGAGTTGAAATCGAAGCCTCCATTGAATTACGGCCACTTAATAAAACAGAAATCGAAGTACGAGAAACACGCTTATGTAGTAAAATGAGATTTTCTATAAAAAAAAACAACGCAGCAGCTTTCGGTTAAATGTCAGAAATATTTTTGTTTACTTGTAAAATAAATTTTTACTTAAATTATAATATATTTTTTCGACTCCACACAACTTCAAAATTCAGCAGGTCTATGTAATGTGCTAAGCATCTAATGTTTTTGGAAAATTTTGGATTTCGTACAAAAATTAACAACAAAATTAATCAAACCGAACCTTCAAAAACTACAGTCATCTTTAAAATTTGAGTATTCAAAACAGACCTACGGCAATGAGTCTTCACGCCACCTATGACGATAACATAATTAATGAATCTGCAGAGAATCAAAATCTACCATTTTTTGTATATAAAAATTTTGGAGGCAAACAGTCCTTTGATTGTCCACCAACTAATGGCCACGTTATAAAAACAACACAAAAGTTTCTCAATTTGGAGAAAATGGCATCAAACCCAGTTAAACCTGATCTATTAGCACTAAAATCTGGCATGATAACACATAGGCGTGACCATTTCATGACAATTAACAACAGTAAGTTTCCAATAAAAGAGTATAAATTTTTATAAAGAATCACATTTTAATAATTCAATGCAAAGTAATATATAAAATTTTTTTTCATTTAGTTGGACTTACTTTGCCTCGAGAATTTGATTTCAAGGAGACGCGAAATAGAATAAATCATTTGTTGCACAGTCACACTGATGAAAGCCTTCCAAGAGGTGGTATGGTGCAACAGTTGATTCAAAATCTGGAGTCTAATATTAGGACTCCAGTCTTAGAAGAGAATCAACATGACATGGACATGAAACGATTACATGCATGCGATAATGGATCAACCAAAACTGCGGATGATCTTGAAATAGGACAGTATAACATACATGTTAATGCGCAGGTAACAAAACTAAGTGAGGATCCAGTTTGTGCCAAGAAAAAGACGAATTCAAATTAACAAATAAGTTTACCATCAACATTGGAATTACCGAGACTTATAAAACTGAGATGTAACGTCTCTGGTATCAACTATTACATCTAAAGTAAGTCATCTATAAATAAGGAAAAGTCGTGACATAGATATAGGAACACTCGTTGTTGTTTACTAATAACAATGAACTTATCGAAACTCGTCACGTCCTAGTCTCTTTTTGTAAAAACTCGCGAATATTCTGAACCTAAATAAATCACACGCCAGCTAAAATATTTGTTTTAATAATAATATTTGGTCTACTTCTCATATAAAGCATATTTTATTTGGAAAAGATTAGAGCATAGCCATCCATTTAGACGGGAATGCTTTGAATATATTTCAATATAATATATTTGCAAATTTTAGTAACGAAACTTTTTCGGTTCTCTGTGAGAGCAATTTTGGATCTGAATACGAAAATATATTGATCAAATACCTTCTTCGAATGCTGATCGTTATATCGGCATAAAAAAATGATGGGCAATTGCACGACATTCGGAATGTAAACTAAATTACCGATTTCCAAAACTATATTATAAATTATTAATATATATCTGTTAAAACTATATGTTGAATAAAATATATCACCTACGACGCAATAACTTTACTCTTATTATAACTATATATGCAAATATTATGAAATTATATCAATACATTAGAGAATGATATGTCTTACCGGTGGTGGTCATTTTCAATAGACAATCTAACTTCAAAAATCTATTTCAATTAGTCCACCAGAAAATTTAAAAAGCATACAATGCGTTTACGGATTTTTTATTTCTGTTCTTTTCAAATATCGACACTGTTTCCTTCATTCTTAATTTTGATTTGGCTTTGTGTGTCTGTTAGTAATAGTTCAACAAAAACCTTGTACCATAGTTTGCAATCTGTCATGGAAGTCATGGGTCATGGAAGTCATGGGTCATGGAAGTCACGTTCAGTTTCATTGCAGGCATTATGCCTTCAAATTTTTTTATAGCCACTGCAAACATACTTACTTTAAAAGTAGGTCAACCGAAGCTGCTCTGAGCTGAGCTGAGGTTATGAATAAAATAGACCTATCTCGATGTAATTAACAATATACCATAGCTAGCTAATGGAATATAAAGGGTGTTTTTTAGTAACAATTGTGGATGTTAACCAACGGATGTTGATAGATCTGGAAATAGACAATTATAAATGAAATAAAATGCATATCATGAAGGTACGATTTAACTATGATTACTTAATATACGCGCTGGCCTGAAGTGGTGCCTTTAAAAAATTTCACAGTGGCAACCAATTTCTATGACTGTTGGATATCCTGGTTTAGAACTTTAAGGGTTATAACAATTGACCAAGTGACACTGAATCTAAGCTATTCAATTCTACAGCTAACTCGGCAACTTGTGTGATTTATTGCACAATCAGAACTTCATCATATTACCCAGCCAATTATTGTTAAACAACATTTTCATCGAATATTACGAGCATTGATGCTGATAAAACTGCAATTTACATAGTTAAAGTTACTATCATTGGTATTGCTACTGTGATTTCTAAATACCATAGTATACTGTACATCGTCTTTAAGTTGAATTTTTTTACAAAAATTAAACGTCCTCAAATAAATTAGAAATTTTACTGTAGTTTGCTGACGTTTCATCACTTCAACAACATCCTATTTTATTATAGATGTATATGCAAACCATCACAACATTTCTCTTAAACGGCTTAATCATGCGTTCATGAAAAATTCTAGAGACCTTGATCGCAAACTGTCCTTCATTAAATTCAACGTTTTTTTTGGCGCGTTTTGGCGAAACAAGACACTCCAACTGCGGACGCTCCGTTTTTATCTAAATTTAAATCTAAAATTTAAAGAAACAAATTTAAATAAGTGCACACAAAGATTAAATAATACACGTACACTCTAGTTGTCGCGATCCGTGTCAGCAAAAGTGCGGTTTGTGTGATTAAATTGCAAAATATACTTCTAAATTTTGGTTTTAATAAAAAACAAAAAAAATCAAAACAAATTAATCAAAAGCAATAAAATTGCTGAAAGTTACTAATACTTTCAAAACAGCTGATAGAGACAGCATTTGTTTGTTTATTTTTTTTAACGAAAGTTGCAATTTATAAAAGTGGCGTTGCCACAGTGTATATTTTTAATTCTTTTGTAAAAATTTAATATTCTATATATATACTATATAATCAGTGATCATCAAACTAAAAAATTTATTTCTTTTAATATTTAATTTTTTATGAACAATTGTAAAAGTAATATACGAAGACATTCACTAATAAGTGAAAATGGCCTAAATGGCTACATAACATTTAATGCAGAAGACATTAAAATAAACGATCAACCTATAAACAAAACTATAGGTAAATCGAATACCGAAATAAACATTAAAAAAACCGCTAGTGAGATTGCTATAGCAAATAAAATTAAATTAATTAGTAATAAAAATAATAATTTAAACAAAATTTCTCCAAACAGTACAAAAGATATAGATCCATACGAAATTAACATGTCCACAAACACCAGCCACACTAATGACAAAAATAATGAAGCTCTTAATAAAAAAATGAGAGAATTAGAAGTCTTATGCGGCAAACTTCATCAAGAAATTATCCAACTCAAAAGTGAAAACCAAAAATTAAGGTCGCAACTTATTAACAATAATGTTCCGAAAGAGCAAACCACCATAACTTTCGAAACAGACGAGGAAGAGCTTGCCCGTGAAACCGACTGGATCGTTAAAAGAAATAATAAAAGAGCCTCAAAAAAGCGCAAAGCTACTACATCTCCAAGTGTGTCACCAACTCTCAACAATATGACACAAAAGCATTCTAAAGAAACGGAAAAGACATCAACCCAGCTTCGTCCACCTCCAATTATGGTAACTGTCTCTGATAATTACAATCACATAAGAAAAATTATTACAAAGGAAAGCAAAAATAAATTTTTGCTGAAACTAATGAATAACGACTTATGTAAAATTAGCACTTTCGATGGTAACGATTATCGGGAAGTAACTCGAGCTCTAAATGAAGCAAATCTCTCATGGCACTCTTATGAACATAAACAGCTTAGACCAATAAGAGTTATAGCAAAAAACCTGCATCACTCATGCGACCCTACAGATATTGTTGGCGACCTTGCAGAAAAGGGTTTTAAAATTGTCAGCGCAATTAATAAGCTACAATTTAAAACTAAGAAACCACTGGATATGTTCATATTATCCTTTGAGGCAGTAGAAGATACGAACAAAATCCATGAAATCAAAGAAATCTTAAATACGATAGTATCTATAGAAACAATAAAACCCTCTAAAATTATTCCGCAGTGCACCAAATGCCAATCTTTCAACCATACCAAAAACTACTGTCAAAAGCAGCCAAGGTGTGTGAAATGTGCAGGTAAGCATGAAACTATAAATTGTGAAAAACCCGATGATAGTCACCCAAAATGTTGCAACTGTGGGGAGCAACACCCAGCGTCATATCGCGGTTGTGTAGTCGCAAAAGAGCTTCAAAAATTAAGAGACCAAAAAACAAAAAAAGTTCCTGTCCCAGTTCAAACAGATAATATCGAAAGACCAATAATATACTCAAGTCGAAGAATCGCTAAAGTATCATATGCAGACAATATCAAGCCAACAACCTCCGTAGCCCAAAAAATAAATATATCTGATGAATCACAAAATGTCCTCTCTGTTATTCTTGAAAAACTATTGGCAATAGAAAATCGCCTAGACAACTTAGAACAAAAACTTAACTGTACATCTGTATGATTGCTCTTAAAATTATGGAATGGAACGCAAATGGTTTGCTTCAACACAAAAACGAATTAGAATTACTTCTGCTAACAGAAAATATAGACATATGCCTAATAAGCGAAACTCATTTTACAAAAGAATCGTATACCAATTTTAAAAACTATAATTTTTATCATACTATTCATCTAAGCAATAAGGCTAGAGACGGAAGTGCCGTTATAATTAAATCCAACATTAAGCATTATCAAGATAATAAACTGTCTAATGAAGAGTTCCAGGCAACAACCGTTGCAGTTGAAGAGAGTGGTTCCAAAATACAAATAACGTCCATCTATAGTCGACCAAGACATAACATAAAATATGAACAATACATAGATCTATTAAAATTACACAAACATAAAGCAATAATTGGTGGTGATTTTCACGCAAAAAATGTTCAATGGGGGTCAAGACTAAATACCACAAAGGGTAAGGAATTACTTAAAGCATGTCGGGCCACAGGTTTTGAAGTTCTCTCCACTGGCTCTCCAACATACTGGCCAACTGATAGAAAAAAATTACCAAATGTCATTGATTTCTTTATTGTAAATAAAATTCAAAAAAGAGACATTGAAGTTAAAGCAGGAATTGACTTAAATTCTGACCATTCTCCAATATTGCTTACTTATGGATGTAATATTCTATCTATGATACCTAAACCGACACTAACAAACCGTCTAACAGACTGGAATTATTTTAAGGCCCAGATAAATGAAAATATTGACCTATCCTGCAAAATACGAAGTATAAATGACCTAGAGAGTGAAACGCATTGCTTTACAAGCTTGATTCAAACATCGGCATGGCGCAGTTCTCCACTGCAGAATAGTAAGCAATTTGATAAAAACTATCCGGTCGAAATTTTAAATCTAGTCTATAATAAAAGAAAACTACGTAAAAAATGGCAACAATCACGATTAATACAAGATAAAAGAAACCTTAATAATGCCACTCAAAAATTAAGAAGAGAAATCAGTAATTTTAAAAATGAAAATGTTAAGAAATATCTTACAAACTTGACATATGATAACAAAACTAACTATTCTCTCTGGAAAGCTATGAAAAAATATAAAAGACCGATCACTCATAATCCTCCATTAAAAAAAGATAATAATGAATGGGCGAAAAGCAATATTGAAAAGGCACACGTTTTGGCTGAATATTTAAGTAATACCTTCAATCAAGAAGAAACCCATCATATAGAGCCAAATAACAACATAGATGATGAAGCTATTTTGCGGATAAAAAATAAAGAAGTAACTGGGGAAATCAAAAAATTGAAATTAAAGAAATCACCAGGATATGACCTCATAACTAGTGAAGTGTTGAAAAAGCTACCTCCAAAAGGAGTAGCCAAACTTGCACAGATATTTAATGCGAGTATAAAATTAAATCATGTCCCTAACTATTGGAAAGTTGCTGAAGTGGTGATGGTACTAAAACCAAATAAGGACCAACATTCTCCAACTTCATATAGACCAATCTCTCTCCTGCCAACCATAGGAAAACTGTTCGAAAAGCTTATCTGTAAAAGACTTGA